CCTTCTATTGTCTGAGTTCCGAAGATCTGCGTAATACTCACTGCTGCTACTCTGATTTTTGCAACAAAATTGATTTAATGGTTCCCAGTGGTGAGTAGAGAGCTAAATAAATGGTCTGTTTGAAGTGGGGAGGAGAGAAGCTGCCTGTTTGGGATCGGGAGTAAGGAGTTCTCGGCCCTGTTTTCACCTCTTCCCTTAGGTTGCTGTGTGAACTTGAGCACTGGGTTTATGTCCTTGATCTGTAAAGTGGAAATAATAACAAACTACTTCAAATTAAAATGTGAAGTTGCTTGAACTCCCCTGTGGCCGACAAAACGTCACCAGCTGGTGAGGTTGTTTTAGGGTAGGAGAAGCTTCCAAAGTTTAGGGTTGGTTTTTTTTCCCCACCTGCACTCAGTAGCTCCGTGTTATGATACTCAGCCCTGCTGCTGGTATCCTACAGCCTCCTGAAACGCAGTGTTCATCTACAGTTCAATAGAAACTTCTGCTGCGTGGTGCTCTGTGCCAGCGGTGGCCGGAGGACGGCACGTGTTCCCTGGGCACAGCTCGGATCCCTTTTCCGGCGCCGAGTTGTGCTGCAGCCTGACTTTTATCGGCCGGAGTTGCTTGCCTTCTAGGACTGCATATCTTTTCGGTGATGAGCCATCAGTTTGGGGATGTTGCAGCAGCTTCAGAGTAAAGTGTGCGGGGCGGAGGGGTGCCCAGGTTCTGGATGGGTGAAGAGGAAGCAGCCCTGCCTTTGAGTGAGGGTGTGGGAAACGTCTGCTTCTTTCTGTTTCCTGGGACAGAGAGGGCACGTGGTGTTTCCTCATACCTCCTTAATCTCCATTTTGGGCTGCTGTTTTGTGGGTCGTATGAAGACTGCAGTATCCGTTTTCCTTGCGTGCAGTGGGGAAGTCTGATCTGGTCTCAAAAAGACAAATAAATTGTCTTCAGGTACAAGTCTTCGCTGGTTGTTACAGGGCGAAGGGGAAATTGAGTCCTTACTGACTGGTTGTTTTTTCTCCCACTTGGAGAGTTCAAGGGGAAGGTAAAAGTCTGGCTGTTGTAGCAAATTCAGCCCAGAACAGGCTCCTGTCCTCTTTTAAATAGCAAATGCCATAATCCCTGGTCCTACCACCGATGCACCGTCCCCTTGTAGGAGTTTTAGCTGTACTTTGCCTGCCCACTGACTTGATCAGCCCCATGTTAATGCTGTTATTTGGTGTGTCCTCTGCCATCCTGGAACAGCCAGCTAAAATTGTCCAGGCTCGGCGAGGATAATTAAAACGCAAGAAGAAAGTCCTTAAAGAACGCTTGGGAAGGAGTGATAATTCTCTAAAACAATCTGATTTTTCTCCTCGCTTTGCTTTCAAGGACACCTGAAAGATAACGAACCCCCATCGAGCTGGGGTCCTGTGGAGCTGGTGGCGGTGATCGCCGGACCCGTCTTCCTTGTGTTTGTCGTCATGATCATAGTAGTCTTTGTTTTTCATCACCACCAACGAGTCTATCACAATCGTCAGCGGCTGGACATGGAAGACCCCTCTTGCGAAATGTGCCTGTCGAAGGACAAGACCTTGCAAGATCTAGTCTACGATCTCTCCACCTCTGGCTCTGGCTCAGGTATTCAGAGATGACTAGAAATGACGAATGGGAACTCGCAGTTGCAATGGAGTAGTCTATTCTGGGCTCCTGGTTGCCACAGCGTTGCACGGCCGCGAAGCCGTTGCCTCGTCAGCCTGTTCAGGTTGCCGTGGCGTGAGTAACGTGGAGGGTGTGCTTTGAATTCAGTCGTGCAGCCGGCGCCATAGCCACAGCCCCGCGTCAGCGCTCAGGGCTTAGGCTCAGGAAGAGCAATAGTTCAGCTCCCCCGTAACCGCTGATGTGTAAGAATAGTTTTGGTTTAGCTCTCCTTTTCCGCAAGAGGATAACTCCAAACGGCTACATCTGTTTGAAATTTAGCCCTGGAACTGGGTTTGGGTTGGAAACAGGCATTAAGTGCTAACCTGTGGGTTGTTGGCTTTCAAAGGAGGATGCTGGATGTCACCTGCATCAAAGCCAGCAGGAAAATGGGAAAGATCCCAGCAGCCGAAAATTTTACAGTGTGGAAATACTGCGTTTGCACAGCCCGTTTCATCCCAAAGAGTCCTTGGGTCTTCCGAGGTGGACAGTGTACAGCATTCACTTCTGTAGCACTTAAAAGAAATCATCCCCGGAACACACAGGGAATTCATCGTTTTATTCGTGACTTTGAACTAGGAAAACGGTTAGGTTTAAAAAAAAATACCAATTTTGCAGCAGATGGAAACTGTAGGATAATCCACAGAGGGAGAGCATATAACAACCTGATATTTGACCAGGGAATAGACCTTCAGCACCTGCATCTGCTGTATGTAAAATGTTTTGGGATCTGTTTTGTACACGCTCTCAGCAGATGAGCTCTGTAGCTAAGGTAAGAGGTGGCAGCTGTGTCAGGACTCTGTTCTTAGGAGAAGTTCTGGGGGTTTACTGCTTTTTAGCCGAGTCGTGTCTTCAACGAGCTCTGTTTTTTGCATATTCAGGCTAAAGTTACTTTGATCTGCTGTGGAGCAGAAGTTCCCCAGCCGCTCTGTGCCTAATCACTGGTGGTTTGCAAACTCCTTCAAAGAGATATGCAGATGCTGCCCGAGCAGCCAAATGACACGTCCTACGCAGGAGCTACCACCATTTGCTGGTTTGGGTCTTGCTTAGGCTGCTGGTTTTCTAGGTTTGAGGATGTCCTAGTTCAGATTCTGGGGCTTCAGACGTTTCTTTTGCCACAACAAGCATTTATTCCTCCGATTTCTTGTCCACAGGTTTGCCACTTTTCGTCCAACGGACTGTGGCTCGGACAATTGTCCTTCAGGAGATCATTGGCAAAGGCCGCTTCGGGGAAGTGTGGCGTGGCAGGTGGCGTGGAGGCGACGTAGCTGTAAAAATCTTCTCTTCGCGTGAGGAGCGGTCCTGGTTTAGGGAAGCAGAAATATATCAAACCGTTATGCTGCGACATGAGAACATCCTGGGATTTATTGCTGCAGATAACAAAGGTAAAAAAAAAAAAGCCTCGTTCCTGAGAGCAGAGATTCCACCAGCGTGCAGGCTGCTCCTGGGAGTTGCCTTTCTTCACTTGGATTTGCAGTTAAATGGTTAAAGAAAACTGCCAGCGTGCTTTTCGGATAGCTGCACGTTTGGATGTTTTTTGCCAAAACGTGGTAAAATAACCGCTGCGTGCAGCGGTGCGTTTACTGTGCCTTACAAAGCTGTGTTTTGCCTTAAACTTCATAATTTTTCCCCCAGCGTGGCTGTTGAGCTGCAGCCTCACCCAGCAGCTCTCCTCTGTACCAACAAGATGGGGTGCAGAATGCCCAGTGGCTGTGCCATCCCTGCTTCGTGCCCGTCTGAGCACAGTCTCTTTTCCGCTGCAGATAATGGAACATGGACGCAGCTCTGGCTCGTCTCCGATTACCACGAGCACGGATCTCTCTTTGACTACCTGAACCGATACACGGTGACTATCGAGGGCATGATCAAGCTTGCCCTCTCTGCTGCTAGCGGGCTGGCCCATCTGCACATGGAGATTGTGGGTACTCAGGGTAAGAGCCAAGTTTGAAAAGGTGCTGGGAATTCTCGAGGAGAAAACAAAGCCGAGTTGATGAGGGGGACTGATGTCAGCCCGGATTTATCTGGGCACTATTGACCAGAAATTGGCTGGCTGCGAGGTGGGTTAGCCTGGCGCTGGGAGTTCTCCCAGCATTTCACATCCCCATCCTAAAATTGGTGCTAGTTGGTGGGATGTTAGCGCAGACAGCAGCGGCATTATCAACTCCGTACGTCTGGTGCCTGGGACGATGGAGTTTACGTCCCTCTGGAGGCCTCTGGATGCCAGTGCATCAGCAGTGCCTCCGAAGCGTAAGCGGAGCCTTGGCATACCATGGGCTGTCAGCGCTGAAGTGGATCCAAACAGGAAAACGTGTTGCAACACCGAGAGTTTTAACTAACGCCCTGAAATCCGGTGCTGCCTCCGCACCAGTTTGACTTAACGGATTTCACCAGACCTTGACCCCCGGTCCTTTTCATTTTGCTCTGTTAGGAAAGCCTGGGATTGCTCACAGAGACTTGAAATCCAAGAACATCTTGGTGAAGAAGAACGGCACGTGTGCCATCGCTGACCTTGGTCTGGCCGTCCGGCATGATTCCGTTACGGATACGATTGATATCGCCCCGAATCAAAGGGTTGGAACCAAACGGTAGGAGAGCGGTGTTCTCGGCCAGCGTTCGAAGGCGGCAACTGGTTGAGCTGGTGAAATTCTCTGTCTTGAGCGTTTCCAAGCGTCTCGTGGAGTGCCAGTGTTGTGCCCAGGTTGATGTTGAGGGACGTCAGTGCCTTTGTCTCCAGGTGCTGTCAAGCTGAGAGGTGCAGACCAGCTCCATGAACTCAACACCAGGGAGCTCATGCAATGTTTGACGACAAGCTTGGCGTTCTCAGAAGCCTTTTGGGGCCTGCTGTCTGGAGCCTGGTGTGCTTTTGGATGTTTTTGCCTCTTTCCCAACTTGCTATTCTCTTCTGAGTTATTTTTTTCACTCTTACTAGGCCACGGGGCCCGGTTCTGTGCTGATTAGGGCTGCGCAGAGCAGAGTTTTGTCTGCTGGGAAGTGCTGTGTGGGAAAACTTGCCATTTACTGTCTTCTGGAAAATCCCTTCCCAAAATAACAAGCTGTTCCTTTTCTGCTCTGCAGATACATGGCTCCTGAAGTCTTGGATGAAACCATCAACATGAAGCATTTTGATTCCTTCAAATGCGCCGATATCTACGCCTTGGGCTTGGTCTACTGGGAGATTGCTCGAAGGTGCAACGCAGGAGGTAACGCCCTTCGTGAGCCCGTGCCGTCGGCGTGACGTGCTCCTGGGTTTCCCAGCCCCGGTGGTTTGTGTCGATGGGATGTTTGGGAGGTTTGAGGGCACCCTGGAGAAGAGGGCTGCGGGAGCGCGGCGCCGTGGTGCGTGGGGCAGTCCTCCTGCCGTCGGCTCGCTCGAGGTTCGATGACCCTCCCTCTCTGCTGGGAGGTCTGGATCGCAGCACCCTGACTCTGTTCCAGTTTGGGCAGCTGCGTTTTATTTCCCTGAATTTTTCTTGTAAACTCAAATCCCCAGATTCTTCGTTTCTGTTCTAAATAACTGCAAAGTGTTGACGCATCTCAGCAATGAGTCATGTAGCCCAAACCAGTATCGGCGAGCGCCGTGGTGACGATCCGTTCTCCCAGGAATTGCATTTCCCCTGCTCTGCCTTTCAGGTATCCACGAGGAGTATCAGCTGCCGTACTACGACCTTGTACCCTCCGATCCTTCCATCGAGGAGATGCGGAAGGTCGTATGTGATCAGAAATTACGGCCCAATATCCCGAACTGGTGGCAAAGCTACGAGGTAAGGTCTGCTTTCATCTTCACATCCCCTTCCCCCTCGGTGAGTAAAGAGTGAATCGAGCTCCAGTTTTGGGAGGTGCAGAGGCTGTATCAGTGTCCAACCAGGCAGCAGCCTGGTGGAGACCGACGTGGGGTCAGCGCTGACGTCTGCCCTTCTTTCCTACCCAGGCACTACGGGTGATGGGTAAGATGATGCGAGAGTGCTGGTAC